GCGGGTGGGATGACAAAACACGTCCGAACCCCGCGGTCTGATCGGTCGTGGCAGTTTAAGGGTCCATGTTGGAGATGCGATAACCTACTCCAGATTTCCTCTCGTGCCTGTGCTCTTGTTCTTAGTTGTCTTCTTTGCCAGTGCCGACGAACTGGGCCAATCCGCATAGGACCTATTGCTTCATTCCACTTAGTTTTGTGTACCTCGTTATGCTCCTAAAACTATCCGTCTTTCTGTATGCATAAGTGATTGTCTGATGCCCTTTTACTAGGTGAGAAGGTAGATGAAGTGAGAGTTCCAGAGCTGATTTCTGTATTGTTGGCAGAAATGTTTTGAGCAAATAAATAAAAGGATGTTACACTTTTTTCGTGAAAAATGATTCCATGCCCTGACAGATGTCAAAGGTATGTAACTATGTGAGTGGAACTAGTTAACTATCATTTTTTTTTGCGTAGAACCAGTTGTGAGTCATGTTCTCAATATTTATTTTCTCCATGGTGGTGTTGGTTATACAAGCATGTTTCTTGTGCATATTTGTCAATTTATTCGGTCAAACATGTCTACCAGTATCGGATGCAATCAGGTACTTCCTCTTGGTCTTTCCAGCGACCACTCTAAGGCCTAGTTCGATTGAGGTGGATTTTGAAGGGGATTGGCAGGAATTGAGGGGGATTAAATCCTCTACAAGCCAAAATCCCCTCCAATCCTCTTCAATCCCCTTGGGAGGAGGATTAAACGAACAAGGCCTAATCATAGGATACTAGTACATCTGGTCTGGTCATCGTGGAGAACATGCACCATTGTTACAAGATCTCTGGCTAAAGCTTCTTTCAAATTACAGTTTCATATTCAAGAGCAATGACTGACAAGCAGGCTTTCGTCAGCTGTGCAGAGTAGCAAGAGCCAAGAGATCGCAGTGTGGCATGCACGGTGGCCATTCTTCGGCTCTGCAAAACATCGAAAGGTCTGGTGCCACATATGGACCTTGCGTAGTTGCATTTGTGCAGCATGAAACGGAGATCTAGTACAATCTGGCTCAAAACAAGCCATTCCGGGGCTGCAAATTACAGCTGTATCTGAAATATTCCAAGCAAATTACCGGTGCAACTCGTCCTCTGTGACGTGTTACTCTGTATCTAAAATATTCCAAGTATAGCTTGAAACTCGGAGGGTGCTTGGATGCAAGAGACTTATTTTAGTCTGACTAAAAATAGTCTTTTTAAGAGGCTAAAGTCCAAACACCCCTGACTAAAGAGGGGCTAAAACTAGTCTTGAGACTAAAAAATTTTAGTCAGGTGTACCCCTACTAAAATGTGGATTAGTTTCCTCTCTCCTCATTTAACTCCTCTCCTTTAACACATGCGAGTTTTGAATTGGAGGGTATAAAGGATAATAAATGCTCATTAACTTGATTTTAGTTGCTTTAGTATTTGGATCCAAGCATGGGTGAGGCTAGCAAGTTTTAGTCTCATTACTTTTAGTCATGGGACTAAAACGTATCCAAGCACCCTCTCAGTGTGCCAATTAAAGCGATGGACCTAAATCGGTCGGTCAGCTGCTCTGCTGTTGGTACGTACATCCACGTGCAACCGCCGTTGGGTAACATGGCAAGACAGCGATAGTCTGCTAGCAAGCGTAGGAGCCCATTGTGTATCACGTGGCACATGTCCTGATCGAAATTACTCATCTCTTACGGAGGGAGTAACAAATTGGATCATATATGAATGGACCCTACATAGGAATAATATAGTTTGGTTGATCTCTCATCTCTTGCTATATATAGAAAACTCGTAGAACAGAAAAGCTAGCATAGCAAGTATTTTATGTTGCGCCAAGGCTGACAAGGATTTGTTTTTGTTGATTCGATGCCTTGCTCTGCATACCATGAACAAAATAACTGTGAATCAGCTTGTTCTTGGCCTGGTCACTGACGTTGCGAACGCATCCACTGCATCTTTATATTCACCAAAACAATCTACTAAATGTGACCTTCTACATAGTTATATTTCACATCAAGGAAGAGACACCGACTGGCTGGTGGCATGACCATGACTTCACCTTTTTGGCGAGATATGACAACATCGACATTTGCACGTCCTTTTCTTTTTGAGGATGTTGGCTTGAAGTTCTGCTTCGGGGTGATATTGCCATGTTTTCCTTTGATCGGAACAGCCTACGGTAGCATGCGGACGGCAATTCCTTCTTTAGATGTTTTCATGGAGTCCCGTGCCGTTTGTGAGGCCGCATGTTGCTCGACCGGCGGATTATGATAACAATCATAGGGTTGGTGGTAAAACTTTGGAGGTACAATCGTGAAGCTGGTCAAATTCAAATATGTATGAACTCTGGTTTTCCCTTTTCTTATTGTATAAGCAGATCTTTTTGGTAACAATGCTAGGCATTTGCTTGGTGTTTCTAAATATAAATAATATTTTATTGTGTGTATCAATTGATGCAGAGGCCGTGGTTATCCTTTAGAAAAACTTATTCATAGTTGTGTGAAAACCTAACCACTTAATTGGTCGTCCTCATAGTCATCGAATTTCCAGTGGCCATCCACACCCCTGACCATGCACTTGTTTTGAGCGACCCACCAGTTCGCTGGCGCCAAGTGCTCATCCTTCAGCAAGTCGGCCCACTTGTTCAGAAGTGCTACGTTGCGATTGACCACCAGGCGGAACTCCTTGCTAGCACCTTGATACCCGGCAATGCCGTGCAGGTAGACCTCGAGGTTGTGGTGGTCCTTCCAAAACCTGAACAAGTCGATGGAGAACTTGCGTAGGCATTGTGACTTGGTCGTGTTGATACACAACACCTCCGTCGCCGTGCCCTCCTCGTACCCAATCATTGGCAATGAGGGCACAGGGTCAAATTCGTTCCTCACACTTAGGGCGCGGAGATCGGGGAATGAGGCGATTGCGGCCTTGAATCCGCCATACCCAACGCGTGGGCTTGCGAATAGGATCGCCGTCACAGGGCACGATGACTGCTTGGAGTAGGCAGGAGGTACATTGATGCCGTCAGCCACCATGTCGACGGCGTTGAGGGTTGCAAGCGACGCGCCTAGGCTGTGACCCGTCACGGTGATGCTGACCTCCTCGTCCTTGTGCACCTGCAATAGTCTCTGCACCTCCTCGCGGACCTGCATGTGTGGGTGCTTAATCAACACGCAAGCATTTTATTTCCTATCTATCTTACACAATTGTGGCTTGACCAAGCGATAATACTTGTGAAGGTTTTGTTATTGATGCCATAAGTGATGTCTCTGTTCCGTCACGAGATATTCACTCACTTTTTGTATGCACGCATGGACATGGTATTTTTGTTTCTACCTTTGACCATCTATTTAATTTCTAACCTACAAGACATAAATTGTAGTATGTCATAAAAAGTGTACAATTTGATTTGCATTTGAATGAAATGTACAATGTTATATTTTCAGTGCATATAACTCATACTTCTGTAAGTTAAATCGATGGTCAAAGTAAACTCAAGAAGTACCTCCAAAATAATTTCCCACTTCTCAATTCAGTTCAATAGTTAGTTAAGCGTAAGTTTAAAGTGAAGTAATACCTGATCTTGGACGCTGGTGTTATTGTGCTTGGATTGTTTGTCCGCGGACGTGTACACGGACAGAAATCCATGGTGCACCCTGGCATCCTTGTAGGCGGCCGCCATGGAGTGGCCGAGCACCTTCGCGGCGGGCGCGTGCAGCCAGTCTCCGTCGTTCAAATACTCCAGTTTCGTCACGGTGCCACGCCACGCCACGAGAATGTGGCGCCTCCCCAGCACCGCCGCCCCCTCATCCGTCGCCACTGCCACATACCCCATCCAGTTGGTCTCCCTCCACAGTGGCCCCTCCCGCAGCGGCCGCACGAAGAACGGCTCGGTCGCTGCTAGTGTCGCCGGGGACGCCGATGTGCTCTCCGGCAGCCACAGCCCGGAGGGCGCGTACAGGAACTTGGTGACGGCGTAGTGCCCCGGGCTGGACACGCCGCAGGCGGCGAGCAGATTGGCGCGGCTGTACAGGCAGGAACCAACGCGGGGTGACCGCCTCTCGGCGTTGAACCCGTCGTAGGCGGCGGCCGCGTGCTCGCCGTAGGCGATGACGAAGGCGCGTAGGTCGTCGTCGATGGGGTCCAGCAGCCCGTGCCACGACCTGGCGCCATGGAGCTCGCGCCACCGGCTGGCGATGCTTCCAAGCGTTGACGCCGGCGGCAAGGGCGGCTCTTGCGCGGTGATGGCCGCCGTTACCAAGTTGTTGTCCATCCCCCGAGGCAACTTGTACGTAGTATAGTCGCAAGCAATAGCTCTAGGTATGGTACTGTGGCTGGCAAAGCTTGTTTCTCTCTGCTTCGTTGTTGACCTATTTATATCCAAAAGCCATGGTACCGTACAGCGTGATTCCGAGCAACTTAATGGCCTAGAGCTGGTCTAGCTTAGCTTGAGAGAGTGAAAAACGTGCGCCGTGGCCGGGTTACACGTGCTACTCATACTCTATTGTCATCAGCTGACCAAGACCTCAACATACTCTACTGTAGTTCTCTATTGTCATCTTATGCTCAACATACACATGTCTCCGTCACATGGATGGATAAGGCCGAGAACTATAATGTGCTAACTCAAATCAAACCCTAGTTCAGTAGCTAGCACAACACCAACTATATAGAGACACATCATCCGAGGCAGTTAAATTCAGAGCACTTCATATTGAGGCTATCCAAGGTGATGCGGGTTTGACTATCGTCGCAAAATTATCTGTATAGGAAAAAGGAGTCATCGCAGAACCTAAACTATCGGAGACGGTGAGATGGTAAGCATATACACGACCACCACTGGTATTTTTGAGATGGATAAAAATTGAAAAACCACCTCATCAGGAACTTAAAATTGATAAGTTGGTCATTTCTGTAGTCTATTCACTTCTCTCCCCTCTAGACATACTAACTTCCCTAATTAAACCGGCTATGGCAGGCATCTCCCCGCGGCTAGCCCTCCCTAGGGTTCCGCCCGCGCTGCCGCCGGCTTCCCCGTCGCGGGTAGCCGCGGCCGCGGCCGGCGCCCGCCACCGCTAGCCCTCCCCAACCCCGTCCACCTCCCTCCCCCCCCTCCACCGTACCCCCGCGTCGCCTCCCCGAGCGAGGCGGCCGGGGGCTCCCTCCCCGCCTTCCCCAGCGCCTTCCCTCCCC